TGCTATGAGTTGGAATCAACTCGATGGCACTTAATAACCTGTAAAATGACATCAAGTCCTGAGGAAATATATCTGAAGTTAGGGACACCTGGGTTTCTCCATCTGTCAAGTGGGGGTGGGGGCGGCACAACCCCCTCATCTAATCCTTAGGACGGTCCTACCAGAAGGGCCTGATCCTGAGCCAGGCAGCCTGGGTTCAAATCCTGGCTCCTCCTTTTCCAGCTGTGTGACCCTCAGCTGGTCACTCCACCTCTCTGTGCCTCAGTTTCCTCACCTGCTGTTCTGGATTGAATTGTGTGCCCGTAAGATATACGCTGAAATCCTAACCCCTGTTTGGAAACAGGGTTTTCCTTTTGCTATGTTAACGAAGCCATACCAGCGCAGGGTAGGTTCTAAACCGTTCCTGAGTCATAAAAAAAAAAAGAAGCAGAATGGACACAGGGGCAGGCAGAGGGGGGAGACAGACACCAAGTGAGGACCGATTTACAAGCAAAAGAACGCCAAGGATTGCAGGCAGACACAAGTAACTAGGTGAGAGGCCCCGGAAGGAATGGCCACAACTGTGACCCTGACTGGAACTTCCGGCCTCCTGAAATGTGAAACAATACATTTCTGTTCTTTAAGGTCACCCACTTGTGGAATTTCAGTTATGGCAACCCTAGTCTTGGAAGGGAGTCGCTGGGTGGTGCAAATGGTTAAGATCTCAATTCCTAGCTGAAAGGTTGGCAGTTCGAACCCACCCATAGGCGCCTCGGAAGACAGGCCTGGCAATCTGCTTCCAAAAGGTCACAGCCTTGAAAACCGTATGGAGCAGCTCTACTCTGCATGCATGGGGTCGCCATGCGTCAGAATCCACTCGACAGCAACTAATAAATCTTAGCAGAAACACAACCAGAAGGCTCCTTAGAAGCAAGGATGGGTGGCCTTCAGCTCGCTTACTTTGGACATGTCATCAGGAAAGACCAGTCCCTAGAAAAGCAAATCATGGTTGGTAAAGTAGAGGGTCAGTGAAAACGAGGAAGACCCTCCATCAGGTGGATTGACACAGGGGCCACAAGGATGGACGATCATGAAGACGGCACAGAACCAGGCAATGTTTCGTTCTGTTGTCCGTAAGGTTGCCGTGAGTCAGGACGAACTCAACAGCAGCAACTAATACGCCAAAGTGACTAAGACACTTGACCATCAGGCCTTCCAGGGACCATGGGTGGGGGCGTGAGGAGCAGGACCTCAGGGCCTCTTCCTGCCCACCACTCAGCCACCTGCAGGACAGGGAGGAGGGACATGGCCCGCTACCCTCCACGTCGATCGGTGGCTGTGGTACACACTGTATGGGATGGACAGTCATCTCTGGGGACCGAGCCTGAGCCCCCAGGAGGAGAAGGCCATGGCCACCTAACCAGCTGACTTATCATTCGGGCAAGATTACTCGGCTCCGGAATCTGGAAGAAAGGTCACGGCCTCTGCCAGAGGCAGGAGCTGGACGAGGCCGTGGCTGGAATTCCTACCTCCCCCACGCTGGCCAGGCATCCGGTGCTCCTGGATGCAAGGGGGGAGGGGGCTCCCTGATGGCAGGTGTCCCCCAAACTGGTCCGTGTCTGTCCCTGCCACAATTCACTCACTGCTGTACCAGCCACCTGATCCAGGTTTCAGAACTTGGCTTCTGCCCCCCAGATAGACACAGAACTCACTGAAGGCAAGGCAGCTTCTTCCAGGGAGGCCCCCCGGATTGGCACAGCACCAGGAGAGGGGAGGTGGGAGTGGGCGGGAGGGACTCATGGACTCTCCAGGCAGGACATGGGGTCCTCTAGCCCGTTTAACCTTTCACCTTCCTACCTCTTCTCCCTGCCTTCTCCGATGGGAAGCGTTCAGCTGCTAACTGAAAGGTCGGCGGTTTGAACCCACCCAGAGGCTCTGCGGGAGAAAGACCTGGCAATCTGTTCCTGTAAAGATTGCCAAAAAAGCCTTTGCCATTGAGTTGACTCTGACTCATACTGACCCTGTAGGCCAGAGTAGAACTGCCCCATGGGGTTTCCAAGGAGCGGCTGGTGGATTCGAACTGCCAACCTTTTGGTTAGCTGCCAAGCTCTTAACCACTACGCCACCAGATTCCAGTCAGAATCAACTCCATGGCACCCAACAACAATCTCCAATGGGAAGTTGTCCAATTCCCAACACTGCTCAGACCTGTTTTCCATCCTTCTTAAAACTTCTATGGCTCCCCAGTGCCCTTCAGATAAATCCAGTCTCCTCCCTGTGGCCCAAAGGGTCCTGCACAACCTGCCCCATCCCCTCCCTGCCCTCCCCTCCTCCTCTCCCCACCTCGCTCACTCTGCTCTGGCCATATGGGCCTCCTCGCTGTTCCTCCAACTTCCCAGGCATGGTCCTGCCCCAGGGCCTTTGCAAAGGCTGTGCCTCCTTGCCCGGAATGCTCTTCCTCTCAGGTCTCCTGATGGCCACCTCCTCCTTATCCTCCAAGTCTCTGCTTAAATGTCACCTCCTCCAGGAAGCCCTCCAGACTTCCCTTGCATAGTCAGTTTCCATTTCCTCCCCACCCTCCCCTCCTCTCTCCCCCTCCCTCATTCCGCTCCAGCTACACAGGCCTCCTCGCTGTTGCTCCAACTCACCAGGCCCGGTCCTGCCTCAGGGCCTTTGCATGGGCTTTTCCCTCTGACTGGAACACCTTTCCCTAACATCTTCAAGGCTGGCTTCTTATCTTTCAAGGCTTTCCGCTCCTCTCCCCTGGAATCGCCCTGTTTTTTGGTTTCCTAGCCGTTACTGTTGTCTGATGCTGTCTTACTTGTTTACAAGTTTGTACACGTCTGTCTTGCCAGCGCCTGGAACAGGACTCAGAGCCCAGTGTGCACCTGAGCAACGTTTAGACTGGGGGGTCTGCGAACTGCGGCTCGGGGGCCAGACCCAGCCAAGCGCGTTCGCCATTGGCACCACCCACGGACTTCAAGAAGGAAGGATGGCGAGACTTCGTCTCACGTACTTTGGACGTGTTATCAGGAGGGACCAGGCCCTGGAGAAGGACATCATGCTTGGTAAAGTAGAGGGTCAGCGAAAGAGAGCAAGACCCTCCACGAGATGGACTGACAGGGGCTGCAGCAATGGGCTCAAGCATAACAACGATTGTGAGGATGGCGCAGGACCGGGCGGTGTTTCGTTTTGTTGTACACGGGGTCGCTGTGAGTGGGAACTGACTGGATTGCCCCTAACAATAACAACAGGGACTCCAAGGAAGGAAAGCGCCCAAATTTTCAATATATACAGTAAAACCTGGGACAGCTAGAACTCGTGTAAGGCAGAAACCTGTCAGAGAAGGAAAACGCAAACATTTTCCAGCAAAACAAGCGATAGAAAAAGTGGTCAGACTGCACCCTGTCAAAGGCGGAAAACGTTTGAGACTCGGAAAAATGAGGCAGTCCTGGTCGAGTTCCGGCTCTCACAGGTTTCACTGTATTACAAATACGCGCACCATTTTTCAAAAACACATATGGATTAAAAAAAAAACCACATATTAAACACTTGCGATGTTTGCCTATGGCGGGAAGGGAATGGGAGGAAAGGCTAGAACTAAGTAAATAACAAAAAAGCAGAGCGGGAAAAGAAAACCGTCAATATTGGGAACACGGCAGAATCAAAGTGTAAAGGCTGATCTCCTGGTCCTGTGCTGCCCTCTAGTGGTCTCCCTGAGCACAGCAGCCATATACTATTTGGACGATGTATTTTGGAGAGACCCTGGCTAGCGCGAACCGGGATAGTGCTCAGCTGCTAACCAAAAGATTGGAGGTTTGAGTTCACCCAGAGGCACCTCAGAAGAAAGGCCTGGCGATCTACTTCCCAAAAATCTGCTATTGAAAACCGTATGGAGCTCAGTTCTACTCTGACACACATGGGGTCTCCATGAGCTGGGGTCGATTCAACGGCAATTGGTGGTACATAGTAAGCGTTCAGTAAATATCGGTTTAGCCTCAATAGCTCATTTAATCCTCCCAAAAGCCCTATATGAGGAAGGGATTATTAGTATCCCATTTTACAGGTGCATTAAATGAGGCACAGAAAGGGAAAGTAACTTGCCCAAGGACACACAGCTGGTAAGTAGCAAAGGGGGGGTTCACGCTCTTAACCTCCTCCAGGCAGATGGGATTATAGATATCAGTGGACAGATACCTCTGCGAGTAAACCACTGGAAGATTTAATCCAGTCTGGGAGGACTTCCTGGAGGTGGTGACATTGAAGCTAAGACTGAAAAGACAAGGTGGAGCCACCCAGGCAAATTGGGGGAGAAAGAGCATCCCCAGTGGGAGAAATGGCATGGGCAAAGACCTGAGGCAGGATCACAGGGAAGCGGGGACACCAGGAGTCCATTCCCAGAGCCCGTGGTCACCATTTTCCTGGCATCCCCCATTACTACCACCATGTGCCTCCCATGGCTGCTTCCCTGCTCGTTGGCAGCACGGTTTCCAGGGGTCACCCCTCCCTGTCCCACTCAGATTGGGCAGCTCGGTGCTGGCCCCCTCCCCAAGCCACCTCCAGCTGGTAACAATCCGCAGAAAGGGGTCATTAAGTGGCCCAGCTGAGCCGCCGATAACCAGCACACAGGCACTATTTTAATTTTCCACTGATTTGACTGTGGTGGGCCCCCCAGAGTGGAGCTGGGGGGCGGGGGGACAGTGAGTCCTAGAGCCGTTTATCGGGAGTGAAGGCAGGGGGAAGGACTTGGGGGGAGGCCTCGCTGAGAGGGAGGCATGGGGGCAATGGGCATGGTTTCTGGGCCCCCCAAATCTCCTCCGCCTGACCCTGAAGTTGGGGCTTCCCTAGCGCTGTGCTTTTCACTCTCTGGGAAACCGCTTCTGTCCTCAGCCTCCACCCACTCATCCATCCCTCCATCCTACCCACCCCTCCATCCACCCATCCATCTATCCATCTATCCACTCATCCATCCATTATCCACCCACCCACCCATTCATCAATCCACCCACCATCCATCCACCCACCCATCAATCCACTCATCCATCCCTCCATCCATCCACCCACCCACCCATCTATCCCTCCATCTATCCCTTCATCCATCAATCCACCCATCCATCCATCCACCCACCCATCCATCCACCCACCCATCCATCCACCCATCCATCCACCTATCCACCCACCCATCCATGCATCCATCCATCCACCCATTCATCCACCCATCCACCCATCTATCCCTCCACAAATCTATCCACCCATCCATCCATCCAGCCAGCCAGCCAGCCAGCCATCCATCCACCCACCCACCCATCCATCCACCCACCCATCTATCCATCCACCAATCCACCCATCTATCCCTCCATCCATCAATCCACCCATCCATCCATCCACCTATCCACCCACCCATCCATCCATCCACCCATTCATCCACCCATCCACCCATCTATCCCTCCACAAATCTATCCACCCATCCATCTATCCATCCATCTATCCATCCACCCACCCACCCATCCATCCATCCATCCATCCATCCATCCATCCATCCATCCATCCCTCTATCCACCTACACATCCATCCACCCATCTATCCCTCCATCCATCCACCCACCCATCCACCCATTCACCACCCATCCTCCCATCCATCCATCTATCCACCCACCCATCCACGCATTCACCACCCATCCTCCCATCCATCCATCTATCCACCCACCCACCCATCCGTTCATCCATCCCTTCTTCTATCTCTTCAACATCCATCCAATAATTCCTTCATCCACACGTTCATCCATCCAACCCTCCACCCACCCATCCATCCTTCCACCCACCCATTCATCTATCCATCCATTCACCCACCCCCTGTCCATCCATCCATTCCTCCATCCCTCCTTTCCTCCATCCATTCAATTGGCAAGCAGTTATTGATCACGTGAAATGTACCAGGCATTATTTTAGGCTCCAGTGGTCTTCACTACACCCCACCAAGCATCCCCCAGACACCCCTAGGCCTTGAGACTCAACATCTCCTTCCTCAAACCCGCTCCTCCTCCCATGTCCCTATCTCATGAAAGACTCCACCATCGCTTCCCCTTCCTGTCCCTGAGCATCAGCCTCATCCCCTCGCTCCCCCTCATTCTCCACGTCCTGCCCATTCTCCCTCCAGAGCCTCTCTCCCATCCATCCCCATGGTCCTAGCTTTGGCTCAGATCTCCTTTTCCCCTATCTGGACCACAGGTTCCGTTTCCCTCCTGAGCCCCACTCCAAATCCCATGCCCACCTTCGACCTGACCATATCCCTCCCTGTTCAAAGACATCCCATGGCTCCCTACTGCCCTGACAAACAAGCCCTGCTCCCATCCTGGCATTCAAGGCCCATAACAATCCGGTTTCACTCATCTGTCTCACCTCCCTCCACTCCCCAAGCACCTTTGCGCCAGCTTCTCGGGCGCATTCCCACTGCCACACCTTTGAGCAGTTCTTTCCACCAGCAATGCCCTCCCTGCTGCCCCTTTGTGTGGAAAGCCTGAGCATCCTCCAGGCTTGGCTCAAATGCCACCTCTTCCAGGAAGCCTTCAGCCAGAAGTGGCCAGTCCCTGCTCCGTGCGGTTCTGCAAAAGGGAACAGGGAGCCATGGGAGGCGTTTGAGCAGGGGCAGGGAGGGCATGTCAGATCTAAGGTGGTTGTGGAATTTGGAATGGGGGACAGGGTGCCTCCTTCTTGCCAGTCCCTTGCCCTTCAGGCCTTTGGGGCCTTGCAGGACCACTCAGTACAAAGGTGGCAAAAGCTCCGTCTCGTGCAGCCCATGGGCGCTTACTAGGGACCATCTTGGGGTGTAACCTCCCAACAGCCCTGGCCTCCTCATCCCCACTTCACAGATGGGGAAAACAGGGGCCAATACCTCTGCTTGCCCAGATCCAGAGGACAAGCTCTGGGCCATCCTACCCACGGCGACTCGGGCAGTGACTGCCCCTCTCTGCACCTCAGTTTCCCCCTCTAGATAATGGCCATAGGAACAGTTCCTTCCTCGTAGGCTTGTGGGAAGGACTCAACAAGCTACAACGTGGGAGGTGCAGTTGGCCGTGACTCTGAGGTCTCGCTCAGAAGTGTGAGTTGGCAGAAGTTTGCTGTGTGACCTCGGGGAGGTTACCACCCCTCTCTGAGCCTTCCCTTTCCTTCTCTGATTGGTCTCTAGAATGAGCAGTGGGTCAAGAACTGGACCAGCTCTGTTTCTTTCCTGGGTAGGGTCTTTAGCAGCCTTGGGAACCCCCACGGTCTGAACACCCCGTGTTTCTCTGCCCTGGAGAGAAAAGGTGGGAGGAGAGACCTAGGTCAGACATGGGGAAGGACTTCCAGATGGTGGGAGAAATGGGGGGCGGAAGGACCCAGCAGTGTTCTGAGTCATCTGAGGCCGGGTTGGAAGGCTGGGCTGGTGGCCTTCAGTCATTCCCTCACATAGTCATTCATTCATTCATGGGAAGATTGGCATAGACTCCATTACTATGGGTGGGTGGTTAAACCCACAAGCGCTGCAGACAGGTGGCCTGAGTTCGAATCCCACACCACCACTTCCCACCTTTGTGGACTTGGACAAGCCCCCTCCTCTCTCTGTGCCTCAGTTTCCCCATCTGTAAAATGGGGAGCATCGTGGTCCCCAGCGCCTAGCACTGAAGATGAGAATGACTGCATATTCCTAGCGCCGGTGCCGCCCCCACCGCTCCCCTCCCCCGCCTGGCCTGGCTTCTGCGTCTCCCCTACTCTTGGGGCTCCCCGCCCTTCCCCTCCTCACCGCCGACATTCCCGGCCCGGGCGCTCCGGGAAACATTCCGTGGTTTGCAGCAGACTGTCCGGCTCCTCGGTGCCTCAGATGTGGGCAGAGTGGGCGGCGGCCGGGCGGGCG